CGGGCCTAAAAAAAATTTTTAACCCTAATTGCGGGCCGGGCCGGGCCTCAAAAATAGGCAATTTGCAGGCCCCTACTGCAAGAGCCTTTGTATGCTGTAAGTATCAAGCCCTTCTAGTGCATGTTGTTTAATGAAATGCCGAATATTATTAGATAATGAGAGTGTACATAAGTCTGATAGCCAGTCAGGTTAATGGTTAGTGTGTTTATAATAATGCTGCAAGGTAACTGTATTTGAATTAATCGGGAGCATAACTTGGATATAACTTTTACATTTACACTTTTTTGATTCTTTTTGTGCAAGCCATGACTTTTTATTAGGATCTCTATCAGCAACACTACTATATGATCTATAACGATAACAATGCCATTGTTTTGTCCACTTATTTTTTTTTCTTTGGCCAATACCTGCTTTATGCTCATGCCAAACATAACTAAGTCCTGCTTTTTCAAGGTTCTTTATCCATTCTTCATAACTATCAGCAGGAATGTAATATGTTTTAGATTTTTCTTTATTTTGTGAATCTTAAGGGTTCTCATCATTATCATCTTCCATTTCTTATATTTCTCCAACACCATCTGTTGCATTCATGATTCTATCAATGGTTTCATCAAGTTCATAGTCACTAATTTCCATATCAGATTCTTTATCAATATTGAAGATCGCATCAATATCAATTGGCAATAAAGACATGGTAAGATTGAAAATTTAAAAAAAAAAGATTCTAGTTTTATTGATAAAATTTTTCAGTAATTTTTTTGTAGGTGGTTAGATGTTAACAATAACTCTTGCTTACGAAAAGTTTGATTTAGTTGAATTGGAAAAAGAAAAGAATTATAAGGATTTATTATCATATGTTGTTAATTCAAAGACAATTTTAACTCTACAACTATTTCTTTTATAATTTTTAGGTACAACTAATTCGAAGAACTTTCAATCTAATCTATTCATTCAATTAATGAATTTACATGCAGTGAAAGTAATTTAATTTTCTATCCTATCATATTTTTTAAATTTTTATCCTGCCATATTGTATCTTTAATTCTTTTCTCATAAATTTAGCATACATTTTTTAGATAGTGATTTATTATATTCACCTTGAACCAAATTGTATATGCATTGGAATGAATATATGTAGAGAGATCTCTTCATATTTTAAAATTCATATTTACTGCCATTTTTACATAGAGTCGATTTCTCTCTAACTGAAAGAACTATGCGCATGTTTGATTTTTAAGAAAATATACCAATAAGATGCATAGAAATATCAATTTGGCAACACTATTAATGGTAAATTTTAATACTTATACTTTATATACATTAAATAAATTCGTCATATATTCAATATTGTCTAAATGCATGACACCAATTTGCATCACTTTTGCTGAAATATTTGTACCATCTGTGAATAGTAAAATCAGTTTTATGCACTTACATATATATATACCAATTGAATGTCGAATTAATTATCTGAATGCATAGAAAATTCAAAATTAACAATTATATAATATATATGCAGTATGTGATTAATTAAAACTATTCAATTTCGTCTGCTCCTTTTTACTGTATATGGCTATGCTATATAATGAGTCTGTATGCGTGTTTTTTTTATATGATATAGTATGAATAATCATTACTGTTTTCGACTAATAGCATTACCACTTGTGGTTGTTTGTACTGTGTTTATGCATCCGATTGTCAAACCAATTTCCTCATAATATTTGAAAAAGGAAATTTGCTTTTACCGTTTTTTTACATGTATAACATGTACATATTTGAACCTATTTATTTATTTATATTTATATGCTCGTATATATATATATGCGTATATAATGTGTAAGTATATAATGTAAAAATAATTGTACATAAAGTATGTCAAAAAGAGAAGAAAAAAAAATTTGTCGTAAGAGACAACATGTTGTAGTGAACTTATGCCGTTTGTTGTTGTTATAAAATACCCTAACCTGTATTTGCTTAAGTTTTTAAGTGGTTGTCTCTTATTTTTGAATTTGTCTTTTTCAGTTTTTTTGCTGGTCAGATGAATTGATAATCAATGATCTTCAAAGAAATAGAAATAATTTCTCAGCGAAAGATTTGTTAGTTCGCTGTTATTTTATATGATAAAAATAAAGATAATATTTATTTGTTAATTAATTAATGAATTAATTAATAAATAAATGAAAAAAATACATAATTGATAAATAAATAAATAGTTATTTGTTGATTATTATTTTTTATTTAAAAAATTAATCGATTAAAATAAAAAAATACGTAATTGTTGATAAAAAAAATAATAAATTACGTTTTGTATAGTGGCCCGAATTTATTTTTAGGATTAATAAAACTTGTGATTTGAATGATGATCTTAATAAATTCGTATGGTTAATAATTGATCATGAGGCACACTTATAAACTTCACAATTATGTACTTCAATCAAAGACTAGAAAATACAATCTAATCCAATAAATAAAGTATTACACATAACATATGAAGTATTATAACACTTTAAGGCAAAACTTGATTATTGTGTAAAACACAAAAAATATTTTTCGTTAATTAATAATAGATCTTATACGTAATAATTAGTTAGTTAATTGATTATTATTTATTTAATTAATTAGCTTAATGTGTAAAAAAATGAATTATTTTTTTAGTTTGGTATTTTGAATAAAAAAACTGCACATGTGAAAAAACATGCTTGCGAGAAACGTTCATGTTGAAAGTTTAAAAAAAAATTTATTATTTATATATAAAAAAAATAAATTTTCCCATGTCTTTTTTTCACATATTGCAATTTATATATATATATAAAAAAAAAAACAATATATTCTGAAAAAAACAAAAAATGCCATCTACTATAACAGTAATATGCTTTATTACTGATAGACAAGAAAACACTACAAGCAAGGCCCTTACTGTTGTCAAAGCGACTAGAGTGATACATCTTAAAAACAATGCATCTCTCTTGAATGTTCTTTTGGTCAGGTTTTATCCTCAAAACGATGATACCCAAGATCCAACCCTACTACCTTTTTCAACTGAGGATGTACTTCTAGCAACTGGAAAATTTCGATTCGTCAAAGAAGTTGATAATGATGAAAAGAAATTTCCTATCTTAAAGGCATGTTTGTTATTAGTAATTATCACTATTTAAACTAGATGTTGAAGAAAAGATCCAAATTGACAACAAATATACTTATATTCAAAAAATTGATTTTTATATTATAAAAATCTTATAATAAATTATAAGAAATTACAACCTTTAAAGGATCATACTGCAAAATTTTATTAATACAACAAATATTTTGTTCTTTGAATAAAAAATGAATCAGATTTTAATCTAAATTGATTAATGTAAAAAAATAACTTGAACCACAATACTGACAAGTGATTAATAAAAGTCAAAAGACCAAAAAGGTCACCTTAATACTAAAAAAAAAAAAGTAAAAAAATAACTTTTGAAAAAATTATTGATTTGGTACCTTTTCCTAACATCTAGTCTGTTTATTCTATTTTTATTTTTTTTTAAATAAGTTACATTTATAGATCATTTTATATAATATCGTTCCTCTTGTGATCGATCCTAGTGACTTGCCCGAATCTCCTTTATTGATCAGTATAACTGCTACTGTAATCGAACCTCCCCAAAATGATCCTCACAATGAAGACATCTCATTATCTATAGAAACCAAAGATTTTATGGACCAGGGCAACATTACACTTAAATTAGAATGTTTTCACTTAAAATCTGCCTAGCACTTTACTCCAACTACTACTACTATGAAAAAAGTATCAACACTCTTTATGAATGGTGACCTTATGATTGTTGATGATGCTTATGTTGTTCAGCTTCATAATATAAACTTCTGTAAATATTAGAAATCCATTATCAATATGAAAAATTTAACCAATCTTCTATGTTTAAATAAATCAAATGAAACATCAAAAAAAATTAAATCAAATGAACTTCCAGAAAAAGATGTATCAAATGAATCTCCAGAAATAAATAATTCAGATGAATCTTCGACAAATAAAACTCCACCAATTGAATTGGGCACTGAAAAAGTTGCACGTATGGTTGCTTCAAGGGTTAAAGATGGTAGGCAAAAAAGATCAACTGAAACTAAACCATACCTCAAGCTAAACGAACGACCAAAAGTGACCAATCTTGCTAAGAAAATGTTAAACCAAAACCCAGATATTGATACTTCTGAATCATCCGTATCTCAAAATGTATAAAGCCTTCTCTGTATCTTAAATTGTTTAAAGCCTTCTTTTTTTCTTTTTTGTTTTACATTATTATTATTATTTTTTTTTTTTTACAAATCAATTGTCATTTTTAAGTCATTTGGATTATATGATTTATTTGTATATACTTATCAATGGTTGTTTTCTTTTTTCTTCAAATTAAATATAATTATCTATATGTACTTATCAACAATTAATATTTTTTCTTTATAATAATTATCATTTTGTTGATTCGTGATAATCTTATATATTCATAATATATAAACATTTCATCTAAACGATTACAACAGAGACAGTGCTGATCTAAAGTGAATTCCTTTCGCCCACAAATTAAATTATTTATATTAAATTCGATTTTTATAATACCTCACCAGCTTTGGTATACTGTTCTGAGTGATTTTTCACAAATTTATAACACAAGAACATTAACAAATCAATCTTATAAATTCACTTTTTCTTATCATTCTCTGTGTACGTATTAGCTAATGTGTGTATACTTAATAAAATCTGCCTGTGGAATCTTCGTAAGATATGCTATGTCTCTGATATTCCAACCCCATAACCATTTCTAAGACTGTTTTTTTTTTATTCAGTATTTTATATTACTTATTTCACTGTCTTTCACAGCCATTTAATGTCAATGTATACTTTATTTTAGACTTACATAAACCCTATTTTGTTATTGTATATGACATAGCCTTTGTTTTTTAGTACTATTAACCTAATATAGTAATGACGATTCCAAAATTAAATCTATAAATATATCTCAAAAAATGTTGCACAATTTTTCGTTTAGTATTTCATATCATACATTGTCTTACCCTTTCATACTAATGCATATATACCTTAAAGATTTGTATGCGTTATTTGGCTTTTTTTTTACTGCACAGCCTTTACGTACATATTTATTATTACTGGTAACTAATATAATAATTATAAATTATACCAATACTTAAATATTTAAATTATATAAGGATCACCAATGATAGATCCTAACAATACAATGACCAAAATAATATATTGAAGCATCAAATAAATCCAACAAACCGAGATAATAGCACAATAAATAAATTCATTGAAAATTATATCATTAAACGAATTTATCAAATAAATCAAATCATTAAAATCTGATAGATGAAATTAATAACACAATTAATAAATCAATCAATAAATAAATCATTAAACAAATTTATCAAACAAATTCAATCATTAAACAAATTTTAATACAATTGTTTACTAAAAAAAATTACTAAAATATATGAATTTGCACACTATAAAAATGTATAAAAGATTTTACTAAAACACTGGAGACCTTACTTTATTCGACAAAGTTCTTTGTATCTTATTACATGTTTATTATCGCTAAATAAATTCTAAAACATCCATGTATCTATTATATATTTTCTTGATCCGATACCAACACTATATTCATATTTACTTTTGACATAAATTAGATTAATCTTCGCATCTTATCATATATATCAATATTATAATTATAAAAAATATACCTACATATTTATTATTCTACAATGCCATTCTATGCACATCAAATCTTCGAGATTCATTCTTTGGAACGTAATGAGCAAATTATTGATTTATCATCATTCAATAACACATCTCAATCTATAACACAAAACATGGATTCGTCTAACAATATCCAATCTATGTCTTCTATAATTCCATCATGGATAATCTCTCCAGATATGCAACAAATTATTAGTAAATTTGAAAATAAAATTTTGTGTCAATTTCCGTGTGTCTCCTGTTCCATTTGCTCGAAACTCATGTATTCTGAAAAATCTATGTAGATTCAATAAGATCCGAATACTACCTATCTGTTTAATGTTGTGTATCCAAACATCACACTAATCACTAATCCAGTTCCACCTCTAAATCGTGTTGCTATATGTCATTTATGCAAAACAAACTTGAACTGAAATTATTCTAGATATCTTTCTCCAACTCCTAATAAAATTGATCTTGTGCCTTTAGAAAAACGTAGATATTTATCTCCCATCTTGCATTGTTTGCTAGGCCGTACACCTGATGCAAATCCTTTTACTGAATACAGATCATTAGTGGGCACCATAAATTACTCTTGAAATTTTTACTTCTTAAGCTTGTATTTTGATCTACTAGGTGCCTTTTTAGAACCCCAAATCAACACATCAACAATTCTTTTACTTGATAATTCTATAACAAATGCTGTTAACTGGCGCAAAGAAAATAATCTCTACTTGCATAGTTACTCTCAAATGCTTACATTTGATCTATCTATGCATCTACGTTTACCTATAGCTACCTACTTACCTAATGATGAAAATGTACTGCCAATACAACAAGGTGATATAGTAGTCTCATATCAAAACTTCTCATCTGAAATTCATAATAAAGATGCTCATTATTCTCACCTTATGGCTGGATTTTTAACAGATAATGAATCCACTAGAATCCCTATTTCTTTAGACAATTCTCATCTTGAACCATTACTTTTTCCTGATTTATATCCAGATGGTTATGGTTATTACTGCAAAATGCATGATCAACTAAATAATATAAATTGAAGATATGATACTTTCGGCAAATATATCAAACATCGACTACTTTTCTTTGATCCTCACTTTCGTTTACATCGTCATTGGCCAGCCTGGGCCTATCTTCAATTAGAAAAGCTTAGAAACTTTTAAAATACACAGAGATTGATTCATCAATCTAATATCAATAATATAAATCGGTTACCTACTGCTGTTGAAATAATAGAACAAAGCACTTATACAAACAACTTACATTAAAATGAAACAATTACCTCTCCTATTCTTATATTTATTCATACTGGTGACACTTATTTTCAACAAAAGACATTACATCTAAATACAATGATTCGCGAATTAGGACTTCCATTAATATTTATTACATTATCTATGGCTGAAGGCTCCTGGCATCATCTTCATGATATTCTTATTAATACTGATAATAAAGATCCACTACCAACTAATAGACCATTATATACTATTTTACACTTTGTACATAGATTACAAAATCTTAAAAAATTCATTTGGAAAAATTCTGATATCAGCCAATAGGGAATGTATCATCATTTCTTCGATAGAATTGAATTTCAAAACCATGGAGCTGCACATTTACATGGCATCTATTGGACAACATTTAGTATATCAGAAATGACCAACCAAAACACTATTAGGTCAACCCTTCCAGATCCAACTTTGGAACCCGAACTGTACAGAAAAGTTAGCTTATTACAAATACACACCTGCAACTCTAAATGTGGTGGTCCCGCTTCATCCAACTCTAGATGTAAAAAAGGATTTTCTCGACCTTTCTCTGAACACACCTACTATAACTCAAGTAATTATAGGTATACTTATCAGTGCTTGACACCTAGAGATCAATAGGTAGTTCCTTACCATGCCCCTACTTTAATGATATGAAGTGCTCATATAAACACACAATATGTTACTAATAAAGGACTTGCTCAATATATAACCAAATACATAAGCAAGTCTGAACCAACCCACCTGTTTAACATTCATGAACAACTGTGCTATCGAGAATATATCCATGCCTGATGAATGGGTTCAATAGAAATAATGTTTTTGTTACTTGGCGAATGCATACAAACTTTTCAATCCAGGTACAATTCCTAACAACAGATCCTCCAAACACCTGAACAAAGGCTGTGCTCCCATTATATATGATCGATTCTCTTGATGATAATTCCTACTGGTTTGATAAAATAGAAAAATACTTTGCTCATCCCAATGATCCAGAATTTGATACTATGTCCTATAAAACTTATTTTGAAGATTATGAAATTAAATATACCAGACCTAATGCATCTAGAAGAATAATATATTATGACAATCTAGGAAACTTCATTCTTAAATGTCAAAACAAAATACTTACTAGATATCGATTCCTTAGACCTAACCATGGTGAACCATTTTTTTACTAACAATTACTTTTAAAATTTCCTTGCAGATCTGAACAAGAGTTGTTTGGAGAACATCAAACATATCGAGATCATTTCTTTTTCCATTTTTCTGATCTTTATCAATCTATAATCACACAGAATTCAGAATTTATGTCAAATCAGTCAATCTATGCCTAAAATCAATATAATACAATAATAGAAACTATCATCTCTTCTTTACAATCCACCTTGACAAATAATATTATAAACATCATCAGATCACAACTAGACTCTCTTAAAATACTACCCCGCACATTACCTACAAACATAATAGCAAACCTAATGCCAAGTCAATATCATTGCTACCAAACAATAACCAACCATTTAGGAAAACGAGACACATCCCACTACCCTTACTTTTTTATTATGGGATCTGCTAGCAATGATAAATTATTCATGATACTCATTCTACTAGAATATTTTCGCAGAATTGGACATAGTTTCCTATTAATAGCTTCTACAGAAATATCAGCTCAAAACATTGGTGGAACAACGATTCATTCTACCTTATAAATAATCTCAGATGAAAAAGGCTTTCGCATGCTCATATTTCATAATCAAGAATATTGTAACACCCTTCGTGTAATCAATACTCTTATTATTGAAGAAATTTCTATGATATCTGGACTATTATTAATATATATATCTAAACTATTTGAATATTTACACCAAAATAATAATCCATTTGGTGGTATTAATGTCATTTTAGTTGGTGACTAAGCCCAACTATCACCTGTCAATGCTCTTCCAGTATATCAATCCCCTATATGGAAAATTTTCTACCCATTATTTCTTCATGATTCTCAAAGACAGAATGATGATACTTACTTCTATGATCTATTACAAAAAATCAGATTTGTATTATCGATGACCAAGTATGGGATATGTTAACACAAAAATTCCAAGAAACAACTCAATCAATCCAAATAAACACAACCCTTAACACTACCTATGTAGTAGGTTATCGCGAAACTGCTGAATTAATTAATCGAACGATTTGTGCTTCAATTTCTACAAATAAAGATAAAATCTTGATCTCAAACTACACCGATATAATAGATAGACAAATATGCTCTGATAATTCAAGATGCCATGAATTCACTAGTAAAACTAATTTACCAAACACAATAAGGATTCAACCAGGTGCAAGAGTTATGTACCTAAATAATTTACAATATAGGTACCGAATTGCCAATAGTATAATAGGCATTGTAACTGATCTTGACTAACAAACTGGCCTCATCTATGTAAGTTTTTGTGTCAAAAGAGCTATCATCAATGTTTCCTTTACCAAGTACATGCATCATTTTTATCTTAATGGCATCCCTGCTAGTCGTACACAATATCCGATACAAAATGCCTTTGCTCTAACAATTCATAAAACACAAGAACTAACACTTCCTAATATATCCATGAACTTGGACAATCAAATTTTCAAATCTGGACAAGCCTATGTAGCCTTAAGTTGATGCACAAATTGGAAACATGTAAAAATACACTCACTCGATCATGACGCATTTATTACTGATAAAATCATAATTGAAGAATATAATCGACTAGAATCTATAGCTCGAGAACCACTACCCTTTAACACATAATACTCTTCCCTTGTGAAACTCACCTAAAATAACATAAATTGCTTCAATTACCTTTTAACTCTATAAAATAACAAACTACAAACTAAAAAATATTCTTACCATTAACCCACACTACGTTCAATTTATCCATAAACTTAAACATATAAATACATTTAACATATCAACCATGCTATATACAAAAAAATAAATCTATGTTAATAATTTTTTAAAAATAAAAAAAAAATACAAAAAATACTATTTCATAAAAATATTATCAAACTATACATAAAAATTAATAAAAATTACAAAATTTCTTGATCAACCTCTATTTATACGAAATTAAAATTTTGTCAATCGACCCTATTTATGATGGACAATACGCATGAAATCATAGAATCACGCACATGATTTTTTTATATATCCGGCAAACCAGCATAGCGGGCTTTAAATATAATTGGATGATCGACTGAAATGTTACACAATATGTTCTTTATATTAGCGTAACGTTTCGCAAGCACAAAATTAGAACCACAGCCACGTGTACAAAACTGCCAAGGTTGTAACAAAAAAAATTAGAAAGAGCAAACTCCATTTTATATACTGTTAAAGTAATATGGCAATACGCAAGATAATTCGGAAGTTAGATGAGAGGTATGTTTGAACATTTAAGTTTAGCCTATAGGTATAATGAAACAATTAAAATTCGTCAATTTAAGCTGTCTTTTAGTTGTAAAAACTTATTATTCGTAATCCCAACTAACGATGAAACATGACTATCATATACGCTAATAATACGAAGTTGAGAGACATAAGGCTTTATAGATTTCTAAGAGTATTAAAGCGAGCGTTAAAAGTTGTTTCTGTTTATTATTATTACTATTATTATTTATGATTATTACATACTATTTTAGAATGGATTTAAATATTTTTTGTATTTTTTGTTTGTTTTATTTTTTTTATTTCTCTTTTTTTTGATTCGTACAATAATACGTTAGGGTTCTTTAATAAAACTTGATTAGTCAATTTTTGTCCGCAACAGGATTATGGTTTTTAGGCCTGAATTTATCAATATTTCACGTTAAAGACTTCAATAAAATATCTACTATATCACGGGATGATCTACAAAAATTGGCCAATCACAACGAAAGCCCGCTATGCTCGGCAAACCAATATAATACTAATAGGTTATCTAATTACTATTTATAATTTATTAAAATGATAAATTAATGTGAAATCCTATATTTATTAACAATTTATATGTATATAAATACCTATGAATAAACCTTTATTTATCATGAAACCACTATAATAAGAGCCGAGATTTTTAATAAATTCCTGAATATTCCAAAAACTCAAAAGATTCCGAAAAATTCCCATATATAATTCGAAGAAATTAAAATTTACAAATAACTACATATAATTTCCTCGTCCTGCTACACAGCGGCGAAGCCGCCATATACACATGTACTAGTTACGTATAATAAATTAAACGAATTAAATAAATCCAGTTTAGTGCAATTAGCATTAAATTAAATAAATTAAATAAAATTCAGTTTAGTGCAATTATCATTAAATTAAATATTTAATTTAGTGAAGTTATCATTAAATAAAATTCAATTTTACATATTTAGTAAAACTATTATTAGACTTGATTCTCAATTTTAAACCTATCGCTATAGAGATACGGAAGAAATTTAATAAGTCATGAATAAATAAATATAGACAATATTACAAAATAAGAAAATATGAAGCTTTACGAATGAAATTTCAAAAAAATTGAATTTTATTATTTATCTTTTTGCTTTTCGCTACATCACATTAACAATTAAATTTTAATCCACGAATAAATGTATTACCAACGAGTAAATAGTACTTCTATTTTTATTTTAATCATTACTAAAGGTATATTACTACATGTTGTATTTATCTCCTGATAGTTACTACTAGATGTATTACCATCTTTAATTTACGTCTCTTTGTACCCTTTGCATTATCTATCTGGCCACAGTAAAACCTCCCATAAATGCACACTCTTGGGACCGAACTTTAATGACATGCACCTAAAGAACAATAAGAAAAAGTGTATCTATGAAGGTCATGTATATATTTGGACCCGAATTTATGAAGGTTTCACTGTGCTCAGTTTACGTATATTACACTTGGGTAATAAGTTTCTATAAAATAAAATGTAAATGCTAAAAGTATTATTAAATGAGCTAGATGTCTTATGCAAATAATAAAGTACTCGCTTAGTGCTCCTAACGGGTTTGATCTGAACGACCCGAAACTGACTTGGTTATAGTAAATTTATTATATGGGGTCATGACCCATATACTAAATTTTATCATAACTAGAACAGTTTCGGGTCGTCCAGATCAGACCCGTTAGAGCACTATGCTTGCTTCGAATTCTTTAAGATTCTTCAAAGCTGGAGATTATTTGTATAAAGTTATAGATTGTTCGCTTAAAGCTAGAAGTATTAACTTTAATGAAATATTTACCATTACATTTTTAAAGTAATCCGGGTGAAATTTTCTTGAAATTAATTGAAAGTTACCCGCGTGAAAGTTATCAATTATCGTTATGTTCTTAGACGTACGTACGTACATACGCACCTGTGAATCATCCAATCAGACGAAAGTATAATACATGTGATGAGTGGCTGTCCAATCGGAGATTTGATTTACCTCCGACCAATAGAAAAGGTGGGTGAAAATTAGTAAATGCTAGTATCGGTGCATTGGTTCTGTTCCAATTTCGCTACTCTGTTTCTAAGCTCTTTGTTTTCTTTTGCTGATCGTTCTAATTTGAATATTCTGGTATTAAGTTCAGCATCTCTTAACTTTGTATTTTTAGCACCTTCTTTAATAGTTTGTTCTAATTCTACAATCCTAGCCAAGAGCTCGGTATTTTTACTTATAAGTGAATCCTTCTATCTTCTAAGCTTATCAATTTCGGTTACGAGCCTGAAATTCAATTCTCTCAATAAGGAGTCAGAGACTCGAGTTTCCAACTCATCATCTTTAGATTGCATGTTTAATATCAATTTATATAATTTTGGCAAAAATGTTCGGAAGAATATTGTATACGTCTTGAAATATTTTTATTGATTTATGCCTTTAATTTCAAATAAAAAAATCACGTGCACGTGAAGATTCTTCACGCCGATCACTTTTGCCAAGAAAAAGCTTTTTATTAATACATGCGAAAAATAAATACAAATGTTCGGGACTAGCCCACGATACATGACGTCTATACTATTATCTGTGGACTGTCTGCGTGAAGGCAGGATAAATTCACGAAATACACATGCAAAAGTAAACAGATTATGTGTGCGAAATTCGACCACTAGGGCCAGCTTTATTGCGAAATTTATATGTACTAATTTTATTCAACTGTGATCGAGGATACATCATATCTAAATGATCGAGGATACATCGTATCTAAATATAATAACATATACTCTTTTATTTTTCTCACACACATTTCACATCACACCAGATACACAAGTTAAAAACCAAAGCTTTTATCGGGAAAAATTTTTATTTCAATAATTAATCTTACAGGCTATTCATTAACGCAATAAACTCTCCTGCTAATTAGACGATGCAAACCTACCCTCAAAACAATAAACATACATTTCAACTCTGCATCATGTCGTTTTTTTAACGGCTCTAAATATTCATTTCTTTTCTTTTTAATCTTCCATTCCAAAGCCTCACGAACTGTCTTTTGATCTGGTCGGTATGGATCACTAATTTCAAGGCTTAAAACTTCATCCTCTGATTTCGTCATCAATGATCGTGATACTTGTGTTGCTTCCTGCCAAGTACTTTGAGCTCCGTTTAGGTTAATGTAATCCATCCTAATATTATCAAATTCGATTGCTATCCTTCCTCCGGTACTTGTTTTCACTAAATCGATTGCCTTATTACCTAAATTAGAGTTCTGAGAATTTACCCGAAACTCTGGTTCAATATTTGCGTGAAGAGTGAGAATTAAAGTGTCCATAAAAGATTGCTTCAAGGCCTCTTCATTTGAATGCTTAACACTATTGTCCTTCAATGGCTTAAGTAAAGTTTCCTCTACAAATCGGCAGAGCGGTTCGATGTTACATTCTGCCTCCAAAATCTGTAAGCAACTTCGTACAGGTATTAAATCCTCTTCTTTCCAGTCGTAGATTTTTAGCGCCTCTGCAATAAACTCTCTTTCGGAAACACGATTTGGGATTCGAAATATATGTCGTAATGAATTCGGTTGATATGTAAAAGCACCAGTATAGAACATGAATGATAATAACGGGTTGCGGTCGGTTGCCAGCTCGCGAATGCTAGTGAGACGAAATCGTTGTTCTATACCATTTCTTGATTCAAGAGGACTTCGATTGAGTGCTTCAGTAAGGATAGATTTACCAAGGGGATTGTTGCCAATTAATTCCAATATTGTTTGAGAAGGCAATGTGTTCGGATCGGGGGGGAAACGAAGAAATTTCTTGATGATGTTTGAAGAATCTTCACCGTAGCTTGTAAATTTTTTTTGCCCAATCAACATTCGAATACAGTACAGAATACGAGCAGTGTTAAATATACCCTCAGCTTGATTAGGGTTAAAAAAATATCCGTCATTTTCCTCTTTTAACCATTTTACTATTCCCTTCTTAACATCAGATGATAGATTATTTCCAAGAGCATTGTCCAAAAGAAGGTCAACTTCTGACTGCTTGAATCCATGTAAGTCCCAAAATTCTTCGCTTAACGCTAAATCTGTTGAAATATTAAACCCCGAGGTAAATTCGGACATAGCAACAGGGGTTACGCCAGTTTGGAAAACATAAGCTATGCCTCTATCACAAGCAGTCTTCAAACAACTGTAAAATTGCTTGAATGAACTCT